GCGTGACTTGCCTGGGTCTCAGCCTAGTCGTGAATTTTCTTTGCGGCTGCTTTACGGGAAGTGAACTTCCCAATAGCCTGAATTGCCTTCACTGGCGTCGTGCAGTGAATGGGGAACCGCAACACGCAGGCGTCAAACGAAGGACTAAGTCTTGTAGGCCAAACTGCAAGGAAGTAGGGTTTACGTGTAGATTATAATATGGCGTGCATGGTGCGTATGCGGGATCAGGCTTTACGGTTTAGGGTTTCGTGTTTAGGGTCTAGGTTTGGGGTCTAGGGTCCTGCATGCGTGTTGTACTCTAGCAGCCCAGTACAGTTCACGTAGCAATCCATTCGAGTGGGGCTTTGGAGTCGCAGCGGTGCCGCTGTGCAGAGAAAAAGGGACGTTTGCGCAGGGTGGGACATGCCCCCACTGAAGCAGGGTTACGTGAGGCTGCGTAGGGGTATATGGGGTTGAGGGATTAAGGGTTTACGGTTCAGGGATATTACCCCCAAAGATGGAGAATTAATGCAAAAGACAACGGAAAATCAAGTGAGGGAACTGAGTTTTGTATACGTGTTCTATACCTTACTTTTGGCGTATATCCCCAATGATGCAGAAGTTTCCATTCTCCTCTAGTTCCTGCAAGCAACGGCGATGGTCAGTTTGCAGACAAGCACTCGCTCTGGATGATTGTTTCAATGCCCCCCAGAGCCCTCTACACGATTCCAAACAATGGGCCACTCCAAAATGCTACCATCGCTACATTGGTGAGGATAGGCAATATTAGGAGATTCTGTTGTTGGGATCCTTCAGGGGGTTTGAGTACTGCCCGAAACGCAAATCCTTCAAACCCCTGAACCCTATACGTCCCTACACGTTCTTTCTTTGGGAGACTGCATGGGCTTTAAGCCCTAAACCAAAACCCTGCACCCTTCAGCCTTTGTACCTGCAAAGCGTCCCTTAAACCCTCAACCCGAAGCCCTAAACCCTAAACCGCCCCAAATAGTAGTTTCCATCTTATTTTCCATTATCCCAATATTACCCCAATATAACCCACATATAACCCTAATATTAGCTTCAACCTTTGTACGTGCCACGCGTCTGCAGCCCTTCTGACTCGAGCCGCCAGCTAGGCCCCTGGGTGCCCCAAGTCGGTCTCCAGGATGGGGGCTACAAAGATGGGGGTAAATGGGGTTTAGGGTAAGTAGGGTCTAGGGTATATAGGGTTTAGGGTACATAGGGCTTAGGGTGAATAGGGTTTAGGGTATATAGGGTTTAGGGTATACAGGGTTCAGGGTATATAGGGTTTGGGATATATAGGGTTTAGGGTTTAAAGATACTATATAAGCACGTAGAGATATTGTATGTAGTGGTATACAGGGGTATACAGTGAGTACATAGGGATGTATAGGTAGATAGGGTTGTGTAAGCAGCTTGAGGATTACTCATTAATCCCCTTGGTATAGTGTACACATGGGCCCTAGTAGGTGGGCCCAGAAGGAACCTGTGCACTCACAGTCGCACATGCCGCTGGGACATGGGAATCTCCCTACATTCCTTATGACGCGCGTCCGTCCCTGTAGTGTGTTCCCTATTGGTATCAGAGTAGCAATCTAGGTCCAGCCCCACATGAGAAGGGGAAGGAGGGTTGGAGTTTAGGGTTTACGATTTAGGATTTATCTTGACTGGATTTGCCTTCCCAAGAGGTCCTCCCAATCATAAGCCCTGGACTGCGTCTACTATCACTCCAGAACTCGTAACCACAAGCTCTAAACCCTATCCCAAAACCCTAATCCCTAAACCCAATTCCTAAATTTTAGGGTTGGGTTTAGGGTTTAGGGTTTGGGGTCCCAAACCTAAACCCTAATCCCTGAGCCCTAAAAGCCATAATCCCTCGTCCCTAAGCCTTAATCCGTGAACCCGAAACCAGAAATCTTAAGTCAGCCCGTACTTCCCCGCCCTGAGAATCCCCATGCAATTCCCAGATTCTCCTTAGTTTCCAAACGGCCCTACTCTGGAGAAACTCTTGCGAAGTCCTGTCACTGTATACACATATTAATATGGTGACATCCCAAAATTAGGGCTCCTCGATTTTTTTGAAGCCAACCCCCGGCACTAAACCCTAAACTCTAGTCCTTGTAACCTTTTTGTAGGGTCTCTCCACGTTTCTCACCTTTTCAGGAGGGTGCGGCCTAGCAGCCATGCAGCTAAGGCAGGACTGGTGGCTTCATGGGTTTGTGGTTTCAGGGTTTTGGGGGTTTCAGGGGTTAGTCGTTTAGGGGCTCGACTACTGGGGTCGGGTTAGGTCAATCCCCCTATAGAAGAAGCTCCTTAATATGTAGCTAATAGGGCCTTAAAATGCCTACAATAGTCCCGCTTGGTACCCACTACTGGGTGGGGGATTGACCCAAGGTTTGGGCTTGAGGGATCTAGGGAGGCAGGAGCCATAGTGCCACTCGTATTCACTAACAGAGGAAAGGATGAATATGACCATTATGTGAGCCATAGTCTAAACTCCTTAAAGGGGGGTTATATAGGAGATAATATAGGGGACTACTATAGCGGGTATTAAGGGGGATATTAGGAGTTTAGACAGTGGCTCCTGTGAGCAAGTGCCCAGGACACTGCACATTTGCACTCGCAACAAGACGCATGCTAGTACGGACACCAGTATGCATTGGTAGTCGTCTTGGCGAACCTGGGGAGATCGGCAGCAGTACGGTGGATGCTATAAATCCTGCATTACCCTAAGTACCTCATACCTTGTGAGCTTTAGGACTACAGTATCAAGGTCATGCAGATTTCTAATATCAACAGTGTGGCCAGAGTGTGGAAAGCAGAGAGCCATTGATTCCATCGCACGACGCCTTGGGCCGGGGGAGGGTGGAGGCGGGCGAGGATGGGACGGTGTCGGTACTGTTTCTTGCACAGAACGCTGGGGCTTGCGGGGATGGGTTGGCATTGACATATCAAGAAATGCTATGGGAGGGGATATACTCGCAGATGTGCACTCATGGATTCTATCTTACTTGCGCGTACCCTGCTCAATAACCGTAGTAGCATCATGCTTTACTCGTCCTGTTGCAGTACTCGCCTTGCATGGTGATGAAAAGCATCATGCTTGGTTGGTGTTGTTTGTTCATTACAATAGCATGGCCATATTCCAGACAATCATGCTTGGTGGTTGCATCAAGCGTCCATCCGCTTGTAGAGCTTGCTACAGTCATCAGAAGTTGTGGTAGCATGAAACGCCTTCCGGTTTTGGTCCCCAACACAGCTGCATGGCCATGTAGGAGGAATGACACGAAACCAAAAATCATGCTTGGCAGTTTCATGGCACCTCCCTCCTTCCGCTGCAGTACTTGCCACAGTTGCATGGTCACGGTGCAAAAACATCATGCTCGATTGTTGCATCATACCTCAGTCTGTACTGTAGTGTTCTCTACAATTGCGCATTCATGGTGCGGAAACATCCTGTGGGGTCGTTGCATCACACCTCCTCCCTCCTCCTCCTGCTGTGGTGGTCACTAAACCTGCATGGCCATCGCACTGGTAACATTCTGCTTGTTGTCTGGATTCAACCTTGCTCTTCCTTCTGTCCTGAAGTGCTGACGACTTTGCAAGCTTTCGTTGGTCTCTGCTAGCGAATCATCGACTTTTGCCCGGCAAAAGACGGGGGGGGGGGGCTTTGCAGAGGGACGTCAGTCTGGCCAGAAGATGTAAAGAAGTGCCAATTCTGGATGCATTGTTAGTCTGGTTGTCGAAGCCATATCCAGGAAGCTTTCATCGCTTTATTCAATGAGTTCGGCCACTCTTGTCACAGTGATCGCCGCACTCCATCTCGCTTCTTCCTCTGCCTCCTCCTCCTCCTCCTCCTCGTGCTCCCCGAACTACGAGTAGAACTTCAGAACCCCCGAAGTACGAGTAGAACTTCAGAACCCGTCCTTTTTCTGCTACCCCTCTACGCTTGCCTACTCCTCCTCCTGCCCCTGCCACGGCTACTGCTACTGCGACTGCTACTGCTGCCGGTGCTGCAGCAGCAACAACAACCACGATGACAAGCGCATCTACTGCTGCTCCGGCCGCTGCTGATCCTCCTGCTGCTGCGACTGCTGCTGCGACTGATCTGCTACTGGTACTGGTTCTGGTACTGCTGCTGCTACTGTTGCTGCTACAACAACAACAACAACTTCCACTGCGGCTATTGCTGCTGCTGCTGCTACTACTACCACCACGACGACTACTACTACTACCACTACTAGTAGTAGCAGCACTAGCACTACCAGTATTATTTCGACAACAACTGGTACCCTGGTACCCCCGTGCCCCCTACCGGGACTCGAACTGGTATTGCTACTTTCGTTCCGATAAAGGCTACCGCTGTGGTTACCTCTACTACAACTGCTACTGCCACAGCCATCAAATTGTTGAAATATATTCTTTGAGCTGGTGCGTGCGAAGAAAAGCAGGTGAGTTTTGCTTGTGAATTCCGCATGTCCTGGCAGATATCTCAAAAATCTCAACCCGCCTGTGGATGGCATGTCCAAGGCCCGTGAGCATGCGCAACATGTTCGTTGCAAGATACATGTGAACCAGCTGGCTTATTCCATTTTTTGCAGACCCAGTTCGCATTGAACCATGCAGCTGCCGGACAGCGTTGCAGCAGAAGTAAGTGGCAATGCCCCAAAATCGGGGGTACTAGTAATGATAGTCATAGTAGTAAGACTAGGCATAACAATAGCAAGAATCGTAATGGTAGCAATAATAGTAATATCAGTGAGCATTATAATAACAGTGATAATAGACATACTAGTAATAAATGCTAGTTTCCCAAAATAAGGGGGACCCCAATATAGACCTTCAAATACTATCACCCTTGATATAGGGACCCCCAAAAAGGTACCCCCAAAATACTACAGTCCTTATTATGGGGACCCCCAAAAGACTACCACGAATTTTTGGGAAATTCCCACATAATGGTCTGAATGGAAGCAGAAGTTTCAGACGTGGCTGAAGAGGTGACATCCATTTCCTGGAGCAGCAACACAACGCGGTTGCTCTGACTTGCATGAGAGTACTCTATAATACTAATACTATACTTCTATAATGCTATAGTACTATAATGTTATAATACTCGAATACTATAATATTGATTCTATAATACTAATCCCTTGCTTGTTTCTACAGGGGCATAGCCACCGCCCAATATTGAGTAAGATTCTATTGAATAAGGGTCTAGGGTCTAGGGTGTAAGATATTCCTTTCGCTGGTAACATCTTATAAGATCGACAGGAAGACAATACTCATGAGATTGCTCTGGGTTTTGGCACGCCACGAGCGGCTTGAGCGTGTTGCGCACCGTCAAAGGTTAGCCACCGTCGGAGCAGACAAAATTGCAGCTTGGTTCAACTAAGCGCTTTGCAGGGGACATACTGGCTACCTCAATATTAGTTTGGGGCTATGTATCCCCATTCCTAATCCTTAAGCCCGAAACCCTAATAAGACTCCAGGTGCAGCTCTTTGACGAACATGGTGAGAAGCAGGACAGGTTCAGCACAAAGCCAGCTGACAAGGCAGGTTGCAAGAGCACGTTGTCTGGCTCCAGCATTTGGGTGTTTCCAACAAGTAGCGGTAGTGTTTAGGGTCCCCACAATAAGGATGTCTCCCCAGTTGTGGAAATTACATGAAATTACCATGTCTGAGAGAGGCAGCCCGAACCTATGGTGTGCGGACCATCGAGTTCTCCCCAGATGGCACTAAGTTGGCTGTGGCGCAGAGTGACAACATAGTGTCCCCGACTCAGCTGATCCCATTCTGCCAATGTGCTGCTGGTGGACATGAGCACTAGGAGTTCTAAGCCAGGGATTGCATGAACGTGCCTGGGAGTTTCTCAAATCATTTGGCCTCAGCGAGTACCCCTACACCCCTCTCGTAGCCGCTAGATATGGCAGTTTAGAGAAATCGCGGACCCCAATATAGACCCCACAAACCCTAAACCTTAAACCCTAAACCTGATTTCGAGGAACTCCCAAAAAGGGTACCCCTAATTTTGGGAAAGCCCCTATATTTCGTGTTTTCCAGGGTGCAAAATCCTGAGACGCCCACTTCTCAACCTCTGCATAACCTTATATAATCCCTATATAACCCCCTATAATCCCTATATCACCCCTATATAACCCGTATATACTCCTCAAATAACTTGCAGGTTCGTGTACAAGCTCGGAAGTGATTGGAAGGCTGGCATCAGCTGCTGCTCAGGGAATCACTATTGGTTTAGGGTTTAGCGTTAAGGGTTCAGGATTTAGGGTTTAGAGTTTAGGGTTTAGGTTTTAGGTTTTAGGGTTTAGCGTTCAGGGTTTAGGGTTAAACTATATGCATGGTTATGATCATGCCTACTATTTGTAGGCCACGATAGTTATGTATGGTTGCATGATTTTGAGTGTTCAGGGGTTTAAGAAGGGAGAATCATATTTACAATGAAATGGAAACAGGTGTTTTGTAGGGATGTTTAGGACCTAACATCCTGAACCCCAAAACCCTGTACACGACCTAGGTTCATTTTGGAGGTCAATGGGTGTTCGTAAGATTGCTAATGCTCAGGATGGCTGCAGTTCAATAATCCACTTCTGATTAACCCTAAACCCTAAACCCTAAACCCTAAACGAACCTCCAAGTAGTCACCCCCTCACCTCCTCCACCCCCACCGCCCGCCAAGACCACGCTGTCATGAGTGCTGTCTGCGGGTACTTCATATTTTCTCTCAACTCCTCTACCCTAAATTCTCAACGCCAAATAATTGTTATTGTTACTAGTGTTACTCCTACGGTTATGACCCTCTGGAGGACAAGAATTCCATCCGCAACAAATCCCCAATATTTCTACTACTGTGTATAGATGCTTATGATGATTACGACTCGTGCTGTTCCTATTCTTAGTGCCATCTGCAGGACAAGCAGTCCATCGCGAATCATGACCCACGGCATCGCTATTATTGTTACTCTTATTCTTAGTTCTTTTCTTATTTCTATTGCTAATTTTGTTGTTATTATTGTTGTTCTTTCCTAGATCCTAATCCCTCAGCCCTAAGCCCTAAACCCTCATCCCCTAGCCCTAAACCCTATTTAAGCCCTAAACCCCAAACCCGGCTATTCTTTGAAGGACAAGAAGTCCATCTGCAACAAATTCCAGCAGACCTCAAGCGTCACCTGCCTCACGTGGCCTGCGGGGCATCCCAACGAGGCAGGTTTTCAGTCTTTTTTTCACTGGATTTAAAGGTTTAGGGTTTCATTTTTGTTTGGGGTCTCGGGTTTGTTTTTTTTGTTTAGGGCTGGGGTTTGGGGGTTTTAGGGTTTGGGGGTTTCAGAGTTCACGCCGGACGCTTCTTCCCTGCGTGTCATCAACTTTTCTCATTCCCTAAACCCTAAACCCTAAACCGTGTGACAGGTTGTGTTTGGCCTTGCTGAAGGCAAGGTCAAAGTGGGTCAGCTGAAGTCAAACAAGGCGGGGGCTCTTCATTCGCCGGTTACAGGCTATAGTCCCCCTTAATCAGATAGAATGTCAGGGTTATATTGGGGTTATATTGGGATAATGGAAAAGAAAATGGAAGCTACTATATCTTATAGGGTTAGAGTTCCCCTTAGGGAGTTAGAATATGGGGTATATGGGGATCTTATTATGGTATACCCAAAGCCATATTCTATCTACGTAAGGGGGGACTATAGATGCTGGGTTGCTATTAAGGAACTTAAAGCACGTTACTATACTAAGGAAACCCTATTATCTTCTATATACCAATAATATGGTAACTTAATTTCAGTTCCTTAACAGCAACACAGGATTTGCCTCAGTTGAAGGCTGCCACCCTTTACTCGACGGATTCCTTTGTAGTCTCGATGTGCGCTGGCGCCTGCCTTATACCTGCAGACTGCCTAAGCACCGCAAAGGGGACACATTCAGAGCGAAGTGAGCTGACCCTAACCCTAAACCCTAAACCCTAACCCCTAAACCGCGTGGCTTTTGAGGTCCAGATGGCAACTCCATTCTTAGCGGGCACTTAGACGGTTCCATCTACCGCTTTCACTTCGAGACTGAGACGGTCGCAGCCCCGGGTCCAGCAGGGCAGTACCACATATAGGGGTTTCCCAAAATTAGGGGTACCCTTTTTGGGGGTCCCGATAATAAGGATTATAGTATTTTGGGGTCCATAATGGGTCTCCCTATTTAGGGAAACTACCATATAAGAATTACCACATATGAGCTGTAGTCTAAACTCCTTAAATGGGGTTATATAAGGTTTAGGGT